GTTTATTAGCTACAACCTCTAGCAAGAATCTTCCCAGATTGAAACCCCAGCTCCCAAGTAACGCCAGTCACAACACTATGAATTCTTCAGGGAGCTGCCAGCCTCATCCTCTTATCTCTCCCCCGCTCCTCAGGAGGTGAGAGAACATGTTTTCCGCCCTGACTCTGGCCTTCATAATTCCATTCCATCACACTAAATGAGGCAGTCACTAAATGAGAACTACTTGTAGTGTCCTATCTCATATTTAATAAGCAATGTTGCAATCCAGTTCTTCTTCATCCCAAGCACCTTTCTCCTGCCTAGCACCTCTGCCAGGATGGCCAACCTGGCCTACAACTCCCCTCCCACCCCAACACCACGGCCAGGGGCAAAGGCTTAAAATGGCCAGAGGGCACCAAGTTGCTGACCCCTGGCCTGGAGCGCTTCACTGCTACATCCAGGTATAACAGGGAGGCCCTCCCCAGAGGTGTGAAATGCCCATCTTTCCTTTTTGTTTTGCCAAAGGAGAAGCGGTTACGGGAGAGGGAGACCGAGACGGAGGAAAGCTTACAGAAGCGGCTGCAAGCGGCGTGCGTTGACATTGAACTCAGTGAGTTAACCTCCGGACTGCTGGGTGCTTCTCTTCTGTTCCCCAGGTGGAAGAAAAGGTGTTTTGGCCCAAGCTTCAGCAGGGCTGATCTGCTGCAATGAAAGGACAGCAGAGGGAGGGAGGGAGGAGAGGGCCGATTCAGGATGAGGGGTTGCCCAGTTCAGCCCCTGCCCCCTCCCTTAATTATCTTTTCACCCAGTTCTTTTCCCAGTTCCCTTTGTCCTCTGCTCAAAGCACCAGTACATTTTTACCTGCAAACAAACTTACTTACTTGGAAGGACAGAGAATATATTCCAGGGAGTTAATATCTTCCAGTCCTGTCACAAACAGTTTGCAGTTGCCTTATGAAGTCACAGCAATTCCTCCCTCTCGAGAAAAACAACCTTGGCAGAGTCGTTCCTGGCCAGATGGAAGTAGTGTTGGATTAGGACTAAGGAGCCCCAGGTTCAAAGTTGTCCAATCTTGGAAGCTCAGTGCTGGCTTTGCGCTAGTCTTTTTCCAGTTCAGCCAACTCTCAGGGCTGTGGTCGTAGGGGAAAAAATTTGATTCTGGAGGAAAGACAGGATATAAATCATAACAATTAAAGAAATCCTTTGTACCATCCAATGTATACCATTGGAGATGGTTGTGAAGATCTGTAATGTCTCAGCCGCTTTTATTGTCGCAAGAAGGAAAGGTGTGAATCTGGGTTGAATGTGTGTCTAAACCTTCTGATCCCTGGTTTGTCCCCAGGTAAGGAGGTGGGCCTTTTTGACTTGATCATCATCAACGATGACTTGGAGGAAGCTTATACGAAATTGAAGGACATTCTTGCAGAGGTGAGTGGCGTTCCTCGGAAGCACCGTCCTCAAGTTAAATTTGCAGAGCCACTCCTTGGGTCATGGGTCCACGTGTGAAACCCCCTCCCTTTTTCTGAAGCTTCAGGGAAAATGGGTGCTGAGATTACAACAGCGCCTGTTTGGGAAGGAAAGACCTGTCTGGCACCGGGCTGGGTTTTAGTGTCATACTTTCTACTGCATCGTATTTAGAATCTGGACCCTTCTGTGATTTGGAAAGGCTAAACCCCTCCTTTCTCTTTCTCGTAGGAGATCCAGAAAGTGCAGGGGTCCAAGAAAACATGAATTTCCTGGGCGTGGAGGCTCAAGCTTTGCAGGCATTCCTCAGTGTGTTTTACCACTTATTGTTCTGTGTTTGAGAGAAACGCAATCAACCCCCCCCCCACACACACATGTATAAATACACACACATTCCTTTTTAGCTTGATTCTCCAGTGAAATCCTTCTAGGATGCTTTCTATTAAAGGAAAAAAGATCAGACCCAGTTATTGTGCCTAATCCTTTGTGCATTTACACATCTGGTGGAGAGGAAATAACATCCCCAGTTGAAAGGGTTAAGGAGGCTGTCTTTCCCTTCGCTTTCTGTAAAGTTTTCCACCTTGCTGAAACAGAAATGTTTTGGTTCCCGTGGGCCATACCGTACGATGGTGTCTTTTGGAAGCGGGCCAGCCTCAAAATAAGCCTGTTTTGGGGTCAGGAGACTGCTGTAACCCTCACAACAGCCCGTGAGAGATCATCTGGTCCACCCCTGGCCATCGCTCCTTTCTCCCAGCTTGCTCCTCCTCAACTGCTGCTCCTCATCCCTTAGCTTCATCCTGGATTGCAGGTCCAGAATAATGGCAGCCTTGTCTCTTCCACGGACAAGGAAAAGGACTGAACCCGAGTCTTTGCTACTGATCTCGAGCTGGAAGAAAGAAGAAATGGCTTGTTTCATTGTTCACAGATAGGCTGGGGGCTGAAATTAGGCCCCCCTGTTCTGAGATGGAGCCCCAAATGAGCAGATAGGAATTCCACCAAGTACATCAAGTCTGTGAGTAGAATAACTGCCTCTGGAATACGGCTTCCGATTTGGGCCCTGACTTTAGGAAAGTCACAGACCAACAGGAGCACGTCCAGAGGAGAACAGCCAACCAAGTTACGTGCGATGCTAGTTCTGCTGTGGACTGGGGAGGAGACTCTGTAAAAGGGCAACCTGGATTACATTTTTCCTCCCAGCTCTCGTTTTCAAATGAAATTCTGAAACTTTCCTAGAACGTGGTTTTGTTCCTCTCACTTTACCCATGGCTAACTTAGCGGTGGTTTACTAATCTCAATTTTCATAGAATCCTAGGATCGGGTGGGACCCTTAAGGCCATCAAGTCCACCCCCTGCTCGCTGGAGGAACCCAAATGAAAGCAGAATTTATTTATTTATTTATTGAGCGTATACGCCGTCTTTCGGCTCGTCTCAACCGTCAAGGCTGCTTACATGAATTTAAAAAAAAATACAAAACAGGTCAAGTCGATGCAATTAAAATCATAGTTCAGGCACCTCTGAGAGACGCTGTCCATCCCCTGCTTGAACAAGGAAAACCCATCACTTCTCTGGCTCCCTAGTTTCTTGGCTGAACTACTCTTACTGCGAGTTAGTTTTTTCGAACATTCATTTGGAATTTGCCTTCCTGTAAATTAAATCCATTCTCCTGCACTCTGCAGTGTGGAATGAAAGAGAAGAGGTCCAGATTTTTTTCCTATGGGATTTGCTTTCAGATACGGGGGTGAGTCCTGTCTCCCGTCAGTCTTTCCTTAAAGATAAGCATACCCAGATCTTTCAGTTTCTCTCGACAGGACTTTGCTTCTGATCTGCTCCTCTCTTCTCCAAACCTGCTCCAATTTCACGTTCTTCACGTTGCCCAGAAATATTTGAGGTGAGGTCTGAGCAGAACATAGAAGTGCAATGATGAACTTCCCCTGATCTTGTAGAAGGAGACCCATGTCGGTCTGCAGCAGCCAAAAATCAGGCGTCTGGTAGCACTTTTCAGACCACTGCATTTTAGTAAAAGGCATAAGCGTTTGCAAGCGTTTTTGGGCTAACACATTTTATTCAAAAGCATACATTTTGGTGAGCCACAGCCCATTTCATCAGAGCATCTGTTTTGCCCCTCAGTGCATCCGAAGAAATGGGCTGCGGCTCACCAAAACTTCTGCCTTTAAATAAAATTAGTTAGAAAAGATGCCACCAGGCTCCCCCTGATTTTTTGCTTCCCCTGATCCGTAAACCATATTTTCATTCATGCCTCCACCCCACAAAGTTGTATTTGCCTCTTTGCACCCTTGCCCCACCACTGCTGGGTCTGAAATCAACTGTTACTCCAAGAGTGGTGGTTTGCTGGACTCCCCAACGTGCCAAACGTCAAACGAACTATTCAGTCTGGCTTTACGCATCCTGGGAGTCTAAAACACGGTTCGCTCATTTGTGGTTCAGCACGTTGTCTGAACCAGGGCACTACCGCCTGCAATTTTCCAGACACCGCTTTACAATCCTAGAGCTCCCCAAGCTTGCAACGTTTGTATTTTCAGGCAGTCCGTTCTCATCAAAGTGAATTCTGCACCGGTGCATGCAATCACACGCATGCTCCCGTAAGGAATATTTCCATTGCCGTTAAGAGATGCCTCCTTCTGCCTGACAACAGGCAAATGTTCTGTGTTTGGGCTTCTCTCCGGAGATGCAAAGTTGAACCCCCCCCCCCCCCGATAACACGTGCTCTCCGTTGACTTTGAAATGCTGCATTGGAATTTAGATCTGGAGCAGTTTGTCTTCTGTGACCCTTCAGATTAGGCTAGAGAGGACTAATACAAATAATATTGTGATTTATCCAAGGAATGTCCTTATTCTAGATCAGTGTTTCTCAACCTTAACAACATTAAGACATGTGGACTTCAATTGGCTGGGGAATTCTGGGAGCTGAAGTCCCCACATCTTCAAGTTCCCAAGCTTGAGAAACACTGGTTTAGACTTGCTTCCTCGTGGAATATTTTCTATCCCCCCGCAAACTAGCTTCTCCCCCCAAACCTCCTTTCCTGCTTACTTTCTGAATCCAGAAAAGAGCTACCCGGGGCGCTCCCTGCTCAAACGAATCCAATACAACCTTGGGGCCGTGATTAAAAGTCCTTTCTGTTTTACGTGCCCCACCAAGCCTCCGGACTGGAAATCCCCATTTCTGATTTATCTTTGGTGGTAGAATATAACACAGTCCAATGTTCACACAAGCAAGACTGGCTTCATCCTACAGAAAGCGCCAGGCCTGGCTCACAACTGTTTCTTGCTTCCCGTCCCATGCAAGTTTATTGAATTTAGCATCTTCCATTGAGGTCAGGCCCCTTCTCAGTCAACATGCTGAGTTGCCTGTAGCCTGCTGCTACAGCTATCTCCCAAAATGACCGGATCGCTAGTTCGGAATAGGCCTACCTCACAAGGCTGTTGTAAAGCAGCGGCCCTGGCATTCAGCTACGAGCACCTTGGGAGAAAGGAGGAGGGCGAGTGTGATCTACAAAAGCTGAGCAAAACCTGCGATATCTTGTGCTTTTACTTTGCTGTGAACTAGGAACCTCTCCTTTTTCACTTGATCGCCTCTCACCCTTGTCTTCTCCTGCTGCAAGGAATAGATTTCACCAGATCTCTGTTCTCTTGGCCCTGGGGGGTTGGAATTAGGGAGCGATTGCTTGTACCCTTGGGCCCCTATCTGCAAATGCTCGTGTTCCATAATTGCAGTCACACGCAAATCAAAATATTACACAAATGCCCTGGAGAGCTGAGCCTTTGGAGACCAGAGAAATTTATTTTTTTCGGGTGGTCTGCAACCTGAATTGTCCTCCAGATGTGTGGACTTCATCTCCCAGAATTCCCCAGTCAGGTTGGTCATTCTGGGAATTGTTCCAGTGGGAAAGACTATCCTATTAGTTGAGGGAATATAACAGAACTTTCCTGTTTAGGGGCAGTCTACCAGGGAAAAGATCTCCTTGATGCTTTTGAGTGTGTGCAAAGAGTTCCACTGTAAGTTGCAGTCTTTTGGGGCTGATGAAAGAGTTTCATCCCTTGCAACTGGCCTGATTGTATCTTGATTTTGATTTGTGGAAAAAAATCTAACGGCTTAGCTAAGACAAAGCAAAACGTCTCCAGTTGCACTGGTGTCATACTGCCAACTCCTAATTCCTAGGTTTTTTTCCTCCAAAAGGCAACTGCCCACCCATTTATAAACTGCCCACCCATTTGACCTTTCCTAAATATACGTGCACGTGTTTATCTCCCTGTTCTTGTCTGCCCGGAATTCTGCTGCAATTTTTTAAAAACGTTGTTCCCTAACCTAACTGCAATCTTCTGAACCTCACCATCCACCCCTAGCGGGGAATTCTTCCCCCGAAGGGTTCGTTTTGCAGAAATGCATCTTCCAAGATCGTCGCGCATTTTCTTGTTTTCAGAGAGGAAAGGGGGGAAGAGGGGCCGGCCGGTGGAAATGTCGAGAAGCGGCTCTAAGCAGCGGAGGCTTTATAAGGGCAAAACTTTGCAGACTTGGAGGGCGAGGGAGGGGGAAGGGGAGGCCGGCCAGAAAGAAGCGAAAAAGCTTCAGGGCTGAAACTGCACCCGACCCCCGACCCCGGTGCCGGGGGCTGCGCTTTGG